AAGCTTTAATTGAGCAAGAACCATAACCAAAATCAATACATATGTACCAAATAAAAGATGATCAAAATAGATTGATCAAATTCCGTGTGCTTATTGTCTCATTCATTTAGAAGCAGCATCCCTGGAAGCAGGGGCTTGTATTTCTGTCTGACACTATCCCACCCCCACTCCGCACTCCCACCCTGTCTGGCTCCTACTAGGCACTGAATCCACACTGGCTGAATGACTGACTGAAAGAAACAAGTGAAGCTACCTTCCGATGATGACATTTCATTTAAGCCATTTATTACCAATTAACTCTCAGTGTGGCTTCCATGTAATCATTTTAAAAACACATGATACACACCATGAAAAGAAAAATAGGGCTATTTCATGCGACATTTACCAGTCCAACCTGTGAAAGGGCTAACAGATGTCACTATTATTAAGAAAATTTTAGATTCACAATGAAAATATCGATATTATAAGTGACAGATCTTTTATCAAATGTTTAACAAATTCCTGGAAAAGTCATAAAAATACGCAGAAGAACAGAGTTGTATTCACTACCAAGAGACTTTACTCCGATTGATTTGTGCGCACACACTGTTCAAGGGTGGCAACGTATCTTGATTTTAAAAAGGCTCCGGCCTCTTCTGTTTCAAAAACGATGGCGAGGAACGGAAGGAGCACCGCACTATGAGGAACCAGCACAGAAGACGGCTGCTCGGTGTGCTGTGTCTAGTGTTCTCTGCAAAGCCCATCTTTCCACCCAGCATCCGTCTCCTCATTGGTAAAGGAGTCGGGGTCAATGGATCATATCTTATAGCCATACAGTTAAAAAATTCTGATGCTAAATATCACTGTGTCTCCAGGCTTTATTAAACTCTCAATCACAATGCAAATGTGCAAAACTGTCCCCAGTAAAATCAGAAATACCTTCAGGACTTTCTATGCCTGTTAGCTCTTGGGCAAGGTTGGCATTTCCAGTTTGCTTCAGAACCATCACAAATGTAGAAAACCAATTGTCTTTCTGTACAATCCGTTTCAGTAGCTCTCTTACTCCTGATTCATTTCCCTGGTTTTCAGCAGCAGAAATCTGGTGTAAGAGAAAAGCAGAATTAACGATGATAAAGTATCTTTTGAATAAATTTAAACAGGAACTACTCTGTAGAAAAAGTGAGCAATTTGTATAAAGGCTTAAATTAATATAAATAAAACAAGAAGTCATCAATACTGCTTCTAGGGATTCAGGATTCTTGGGGATGCGGAAATATCTGGACAAAACACACTTTTAAATTGTGTGTCTTCTTCCTTCTTTTTAAATAAATACAGGGAGATACCCAAACCTGACACCATTAAGGAAGTCAATGCTTTTTACCGTAACCAAAAAAATAAAGTATCCATAGCCACGTTTTGCCTAGCTGACCCAATTTCTGCCTGTGCATCTATAAGACAAACACCGGCCTCCCCAAATTAGCCGCTGACAAGTCGATTCCAACTCTGGTGATGCCATGTGTTTCAGCCTAGGGCTGTGCTCCACAGAACGTCCAAGGCTGTGACTTTGATTACTGGTCACTTCTCTTTCCAGAAACCTCTGCATACATTTGAACTTGGAAACCACTTCGCTAACGGTTGAGTGTTTAGCCATTTGTGCCATTCAGGGACAACATTTCTGTGTATCTCTCACTGCCATTGAGTCAATGCCCACTCATAGTGACCGTATGGGACAAGGGAGAAGCGTCCCAGAGAGTTTCCAAACTCTTTACAGGAGCAGATGGTGGCTTTGAACTACTGACCAGAAGGTTTCACACAGCGGAATTTCCAGTTAGTAAGGAACCACTTACTAACAAGTAACCACTATGTCCCCAGGGCTCCTATTGATCTATCTCTAGGTCTTGCCATTTCCTGTCAGCGCATATTGCTGGTACTAGGTGCCATCAAGTCCGTCCCCACTAATCGTGAGCCTGCGCACAAATGAACCAATCGCTGCCCCTTCCTTCCTTCACCACCATCGCTTTCCCTGAACCCGCTGCTGTGCCCCTGATGTCAAACCTCTCATTGAGAGGCTGCTTCTTTTCACTGACTTGCACTTACTGTTGAGCTGCCGCACAGCTGTGGGGTGACTGGATCAGGCACAAATTAATCTCCAAAATGACATCTTTGCTTTTTGAGCACTTACAAATGGACTTTGGCAGCAGATTTACCCAGCGCAGTATGTCCTTTGTTTCCTTGATGTGGCTTCCAGGAGCATTGCTTGTAGATCCAAGTAAAACAAGCTCTTTAACAACTTCAATCTTGTCTCTGCTTATCGTGATGTTGCTCATTAGTCCAGAGGTTGAGGACTTTTGGTTTATGTTAAGGTGTAATCCATACTGAAGGCTACCGTCTTTGATCATCACCAGTAAGAGCTCCAAGTCTTCTTTGCTTTCAACAAACAAGGCTGTCATATCACAAGCTTCTCATGAATCTTCCTCCAACCTGATATTTCATTCTTATTCATAGTCCAGCTTCTCAGATTATTTGCGAAGCATGTAGACTGAATTACTACGGTGAAAGGATCCAACCCTGACACGCAACTTTCCTGATTTTAAGCCTGCCAATCTGTTTGAACAATTACTGTGGTCGTTACATAATCTCCTGTCAACTTGCAAAGGGGTCAATCGGGTCGCAGGTTGATGACATCATTTGGAAGCGTGAAGGATATAAATAACTTACTAGAGGGCAGACTTGCGCTCTGCTTCATGTTCCTGATGACAAGCCAGATGTGCTACCCTGATGGAGGCAGAGCCCTGGGGCTAGAGGAGCCACGTGGAGACCTACATCAGCACTGAGCTGCTTCCACCACCACTGGATCCACAAGGCTTTCCACCCACTGGCTTGTGATCTTTCTTCCTGTATTCAGCATCATCGCATGTGCTGCATGAGTCTGACGAAGAATTTAGAGACTGGTAATGGACACATGGCTAATACAGAATTTATGGACTTGACCTGGACTGGACCGGGATGTTTTCTTAATGTACAGTTACTCTTTGCTGTAAAGTTCTCTCTTACACACGAGTCTCTGGATTTGTTTCTCTAGTCAACCCAGACTAACACAATAACCTACTGGTCTGTATACAGATCCCACATGAGCACAACTAAGTGTTCCTCAATTCCCACTCTTCTCAATGCTATCCATAGTATGGTTTACAAGACACAAGTAAACACAGTTCTGGTATTCTCTGCTTTCAGCCAAGATCCATCTGACATCATTCTACATCCTCTTCAAAATCTGGCTTGAATTTCTTGTCTGTATTCTGTTGACGTACAAGGTATTTAAAAGTTATGTCCAGCATAATTTTACTTGTGTGTGATATTAATTATATTGCTAAATAAAATTTTTTTCATTCCATTTTTTCTTCTCTTGCTTTGGAATGGGTATAAGTATTAATTTCTTCCAGTTGATAGGCAGGGCGGCTGACTTCCAGATATCTTGGCAAAGATGCTTCCAGCATTGAATCTATTTGTTGATGCATATCCATGATCACTCTATCAATTTCTGGACCCTTATTTTTCACCAGTGAAATCTTATCTACAGTCCTTTGACATAATCATTTCTTCCTTTCATCTTAGCTCCTCTATCACCAAAGCCTCTTCTGACATCTGTTTGGCCTTTTAAATTTTTTCTGCCCTTTTGATGTTTTTTTGCTTTCTTCGTGCATGATATCCTCGATATCTTTGTACAATGGAAACTTCATTGTTCTTCGGTCATTATTGTTCAATGTAATCTTGAGCTAGTTTCTAATTTCAGGTGGAATATATTCAATGTCACACTTTAGTTCTGTGGACCTGCTTTAATTTTTTTCAGCTTCAACTGGAACCTCCATATGCACAATTGCTGATCTGCTCCAGTCACCTCCTGATCCCGTTCTGACGCGTGATTTTAAGCTTCTCTATATCCTCAGCGGGGTTGGTTTGATTCCTGTGTATCCTATCTGTGTAGTCACCCATTATGTTATTGACAAAAAAGTATTTCCTATGAATGACAATGGTATTACCAAATTCTATCATGAAATCTTCAGCATTATTTTTATTACCAAGGCCATGTTTTCTAACTACTGGTCTTCGCTTCTCCTTTGAAGAAGAATTCAATCCATAATGGCTATACAGGAGAAGCTGAACTTTTATTAGCCAACTCCTCTTGCTTCGTTCTTACTATTAGGATGTAATCACTACCACAGATTCATAACTAACCACTACCACAGATTAATGTTCATGCCTGTTTACTATTTATATTATAATGGCTACACTCATTTTTTCTTGAATTATGCTTCCTTATTATGAGACAAATTGACTTCTATGTTTATTCCTTCTTTAAATAATACAGCAGACTTATATCTGCCATTTATTAGAATTCCTATACTTCATTTAATTTCTCTCTTTTAAGTTCTTTTATAAAGGGATTCTCATGATGACAGCACTAATTCCTAACACCACAATAAGCATCT